TGGGGTGGGATGGCGGCTGGAGCCCCCCCCCCCAAAATCCGTTTTCTTCCGGGCTGCGAAGTTTTGGAAAGAAGTGACGGGCGGGCGAGCGGGGATGGGGTGCAAGATCGGGTTAGACGAAAAGAGGGAGAAAGTTTGTAATCCGCGGTCGGAGCGCTACGGATGTGGCCCGGCGCCTCCTTTCCTCTCCCTGATCGCCTCTTCTGGCTCCTATGCGGGACGAGATGGGGCGGATTAGGCGCGGAGCCCGGGAGCCGAGCAAGGGAGAGCGAGAGCGTGTGTGTGTGTGGGTGGCAGTGAGTTCCATCGTCGGTCATCCAGGCCCTTCCAGAGGGGGTCGAATCAGCGAGGGAAAGACTCCAGCTCCCAAGCTTTTCCCCCGCCCTCGCCTCAGATTTCGCCTCACAACTTCCAGTCTGCAATCTGTTCTCCAAGGGCTTTTCTGGGGTGATCTGGAGGAAGGGTGGGATTCAGGGGCTGGCCAGTTGGGATGGGGGTCCTATCCCCCCAAATTTTATTGGGGAGGAGATGCTCAGTATGAAAAAGAAGGAACGCCCTCCTCTAATTATTATTATATTCTTATGGACAGTTGAAGTACTGTACCTACATATGTTTAGTGTTCTTCCCCTCCCCCCACCCAATAAGGGAGGTCTGGTCCCACTCTTTTTTGCATTTATTTATATTTGTGGGCGTGCGTGTATGTATGTGCACGCCCACGCGCTGGGTTTGTCCCCAAACTGACACCCGAGGTGGCTTTCAGTATAATTACAAGAGAATCATTAAAATGCAATGGCCTGAGTATCTATTGGTGTTTGTGTAAATTCTGTGTAACCTGACCCAGCAAATTGTGGATGATGGATGAGGTGCTGGGATGTATCTTGGGTCCCTGTCAAGGGCTTTCTTTTTTTAAGTGCAGTTTGAATTGCATTATTTTGGTTCAGTTCTGGCATGTACGATTGCTGCCACTGAACCAAAGCAAATATTTTAGCTGTCACTCTGCTTACACCACTGTGGAGTCTAACCCCTTATTAAGAAATTTACAACTTCTTCCTGCCACAAAGGAGGGAGACAGAAGAGAATGTGAAAGTTTTTATATAATAGTCCAAACACACACACACACACACACACACACACACACACACACACACACCATTTCTGTGATTGTGTCTATGTGCTCTGACAAAGCCTCTAGTCCCATCTATTCTCATTCCCTCAGTCTGTGCCTCTGTCTCCTTTCCTCTTTCTTCCTAAAATGTCAGTTTGTGCCTCTTACTTTCTCCCCAAAATATAACTTATTAGCAAATCCTACCCAAGCTGACCATAAGAATTCCCCAAGGACAGTAACTCCCCATCTTAGGTCCCCAGATGTTCTTGGACTGACATTCCCATAAGCCTCTACCACTAGCTCAGCTGGCCAGGATTTCTGGGAATTGTAGTCCAAGAACATGTGGGAACCCAAGATCGGAAACCATAGCCCTGGGGGATAGAAAAGCTATATGGTGCCCCATTAAGGTAATCTGGAGATGTAACACAGCACAGCACCGTACCTCTGCTTGTGTACATTTAAATAATACATAAATTTAGCAATCCAAGCTGCCAGGGTTCCTACAGGGTGCAGCAGCCCTCTCAGGACTCATTCCTTGGTTAAGTGGATAATCTTTCAGATTTCCCTTCTATGTTCACTTTTTACTCCGCCAAGAATGTTCCACCTTAACTTTCATGATACTTTTCACTTGACTAGCAACCACATGAATAAAATAAATAAACAGTAGGTCTAACCCCACTCCCTGTATGTGGTCAGGATTTTTTTATCCAGTGGTGCAACATTAAGCCAAATCTGCAATTCTCCTTTTAAATATTATTTATTTAAAATATTTTTACCTTGCCTCTCTCCTTCAGAAGGACTCAAGGCAGCTTACATCAATAAAAGACAATAGTTAAAGCTAAAAACAGTAAGTATACAAATTCTAAAAAGGATTAAACAAATACCATATTGTTTAGTTGTTAAGTCGCATCCGACTCTTCGTGACCCCATGGACCAGAGCACGCCAGGCCCTCCTGTCTTCCACTGCCTTCCAGAGTTGGGTTAAATTCATGTTGGTAGCTTCAGTGACACTGTCCAACCATCTCTGTTGTCCCCTTCTCCTCCTGCCTTCACACTTTCCCAACATCAGGGTCTTTTCCAGGGAGTCTTCTCTTCTCATCAGATGGTCAAAGTATTTGAGCATCAGCTTCAGGATCTGTCCTTCCAGTGAGAAATACCACATTAAGAGACAGTAAACAAAAGTAACACCAAAACCACATTCAAAACAGGAAGGCACAGCCATCCATATAAAAACCCCACTCAGTCAGGGAGTAGCAACAGAGAAAGCCCGTTTTTTGTCTCCATCAAGCACATGTGTGAGGGTGGCGGACCGAGAAAAAGGGTTCCTCTGATTAAAACCCCACTCAGGCAGCCAGTCATTACTTGCTTTTTTGTTTATTTAATGAATGGATTTAATTATTTTCCCTCCTGCACATCGCTTTGAGATATAATGTTTGATGCAGTAAGAAATGTATATTCAGCGTGGTGTAGTAGACAGAGTAATGGACTAGGACCTTTAATGAATGGATTTAATTATTTTCCCTCTTGCACATTGCTTTGAGATATAATGTTTGATGTGGTAAGAAATGTATATTTAGCGTGGCGTAGTAGACAGAGTGATGGACTATGACTCAGATTAATACCTGGGCAAGCTCATAAAGGGAGAAGGAGCGCTTGAGATAGCTGGGAGGCAAGCCATTTAGAGCTTTATAAGTCAAAACCAGCACTTTGAATTGTGCCCAGAAATGAATTGGCAGCCAGTGGACACGGGTCCCGTCTCTGTAAACAGCAGAGATGATACAGGACCCTTTTTTGGGGATGACAACTCCCAGAATTCCTCAGCCAGTATGGAAGGTTGTACAGTTCAAAATGTAACTTTCCGTATCTTTGGTGACTTCATAGTAGGGTTAGCCATCTGGGTCAACTGTAGCTGCCTGTTAAGGATCCTCTTCGTTCAGAGTTTTATGACTTGAGTTTGTTGATCCATGAGGCTCATCAACACAGTTACATTGTCTCCTGTTGTTCTGGGTATTTTGATGTCGTTATTTTTGTTTGTCTGTTTGCTTGCTTGCTTGTTTGAATAGATCTTCCCAGTATTTGCATCCAAATGTGGGGAAGATAATGGTTGCTGGATATTCTTGGATGTCCTGGCTTGTCCCAGCAGTGCCTGTCTGTATATATCCCAAATTTCTCTTTGACTTCCCCATTGCTCTCCTCTTTTGCCTGTCTTCTCTCCTGACATACTTCATTCTGTCCTCTCTTCCATTCATTTTTTTCTTTTTACCCATCCATGGAACATGGAGGGGTGGAGATTGACCAGCAAAAATGAATGAACGAATATTCCATAAGGAAAAGTCACTGAATGATACCCATCCACAAAGTGCACAAACTAGCAAAGAAAACCAGGCTCCACCTTCAAGCAGTTCCTACCCTGAAGCAAATCAGAGCAAAGCAGCACAAAAATACACCATGACCCCAGAAACCAATAGGGTTTTTTAAAAGTTACACTTTGACTCAGTTGACACTAATTCCACTTGTGTTCAGTGGCTGCCAGGAAGCAATAATGGTGTTGTGAGTGCAAAGGAAGTTGAACAAATGGTCGGTGTGGGCAGGCTGTGTTTTGCTCAGCCTGACCATGGTAAGGTAACTAGGGTGCCAGGAGAGCAGCTTCCCATTCCCTGAGATTGCAAGACCCAAACCTGAGACTGAAGGTGTGTGTCTTTAGGACTTCCCAAGGATAGATCTATGTGATGTCACAGACGTAAGGCAGGCAAGGGTTGGGAGGGAAGTAAGCACAATACACATAAGATCACTTCTGCAGTGATCTTACCAGTGAGCCCTGGCATCCGCTGTAGTTGGGTGTCCACACTTAAAGCTACCACACATGTAAAAGTCCATTTTTCTTCTCCTGAAGTACTGCTAACCCTAAGATTTCTCTTTCTTCTCAGAGGTTTGGAGAAACTAGCAATTACCTGTGAATTCCACCAGTGCCTTGGCATCTATAACGGCGAAGACTCTTTTTAACTGCTGAACTTGACTGTTTAATATTTTTATTTGTCATTACAGTACTTGCTCTTTTGTTTATTTAATGAATGGATTTAATTATTTTCCCTCCTGCACATCGCTTTGAGATATAATGTTTGATGCAGTAAGAAATGTATATTCAGCGTGGTGTAGTAGACAGAGTAATGGACTAGGACCCAGAAGGCCTGGGTTCAAATCCCCATTCAGCTATGGGAACCTACTGCAGGTATGGCACTGGTAACAGGTAAACCCACTCCTTAGATATCACACTTACCTTGAAAGCCCTGTTAGGGTCACTATAGGATCTACCTTGACTGCACATAACAATAAATAATAAATAACAAAATTATATTAAAATAAAATTTAATATTAGTAAATAATGGGGAAGGAAGAGAAAAGTAGGTAGAAGACAAAATGTTATGGCACCACTATGAGCATTTTTGGATCAAATTTGAGCTGTCTTCCAAATATCTAAGGGAGTGAATTTTGATCTGCAGAAATTCTCACTGAAAAATATCTGTAGCAGGCCAAGGCCAAGAGGCAGTCCCGAAAGCAGCAAAATCAGGGAGCTGGACAGGGGACAGATTGGATTTGTCCTCAGTGTGGAAGGGGTTTTCACTCTCGAATTGGCCTTCTCAGCCACACTAGATGCTGTTCCAAGTCCTCCATGCAGAGCACGATACCACAGTCTCTCAAGACTGAAGGATGCCTATGATGAGTCTTTAAGTTGACAGAACATCCTATGCCTTCCCCCATCTTTTTTTCTGCCTTCCTTTTAATTTTGTCAACATGTTGAGACAGACTAACCTGGCTACCTCTCTGAAAACTAAATAATAAAATAAATATAATGGTTATTTCCCTCTTATCCAATGAAATCTTTTTTTTTTTACAGTGCATGGCTGGTGATGCATATGTTCAGAATTACAATGTGAAGGACTGAATGAGAAAAGAACTGAAAAAAAAGGAAAATATTGTGTCTGAAACTCTGAAGTGTGGTTGTTAGCTCTGATAGTCTGTCAGGGCTAAGACAGAAATTAAAAGATGGCGACCACCAAAGACACATCAGTGAGTATAATTTCTTGGGATATTGTTGAGATGCTGGCTAGGGGAAAAATGGGAAAGGGCTAGCATGGGTGGGTAAAACTGCAGCTGTCAATTAAGTGCTCCCCCTGATCATCAGCACAGGCGCAAGGAAAATGGGTCATCTTCTCCTGTGCTCCAGATTCATTCAAAGCAAGGCCTACCCAAAGAGACAGTCACAACATGGTGAGAGCATGAGGTGAAGGTGGGGGAGACAAAAGGGAGGTAACCCTCTCCCTTTTCCCCACCTTTCTCCTCAGCCTGGGCTCTCTCTCTTTCTCTCTCTCTCTCATACACAAACGCATGCACACAAAGTGATTTGCCTGTAAGGGGCAGCAGAAGGAAAGAGCTTCACCCACTCCAGTCTCCCATAAAGGCCGTGACATGTCTCTGCTCCTGGGAGCAGTTCATTGGAAATGCTCTTCATCTGGTTCCAGCAGCAGCCTTACCGCTGCCAAT